TCCAGCCGCGACGCGTTGCTCATACAGTTTCTGTTTCTTCTCCGCCCGGGCCTTGTCTTGTTCTTCCTTGACGCTCAACTCCCCTTCTGCGTCAGGATCCTTCCAAGCCGGGTCAATTTCGCGGCGGTAGACTTCGCGGGTGTACGGGCGCGGTCGGCCATCTTCGTCGAAGGTGGTGCTGTTAGCTTCTAGGACGAACCGGAGGTTTTCCGAGTATGGCGCTGTGCGCTCCGCCCGCTGTTGTCCGAAGTCGTCGTTTGCTTCGCCGAAGATGCGGTAAGACGACACAGCGAGTTCTTCTGCAGCCATGCCTGTTGGTTCTGCCTCGGCACTCTCCGCTTCCTGGATTGCCGCGTACTCCTTTTCAACTTGCTCTGTGCGGCTCGCCGTGGGTGTGTGGCAGGTGGTGCAGAGACCATTGATGTCTGGTTCGTGCAGATTGATCTCTCGGGGATGAGGGCTGCGGCGAACCCACGGTCGTCCGTCTGGGTGCTCCCATGATTCCTTGCCCATGTAGGCGAACTCGAGAGGGACGAGGTCCACGAGCTCGTCGGATGATGCTTGGCAGGAAGGGACGTCGAAGTCTAGGACATAGATTCCGTTGATTGAGCGGGCTCGTCCAAGGTATTTGAACGACTCGGGAGGAGTGTCCGGAGGAGCGTAGGTGAGGATGAGGTCGCGTGTGGCTAGGTCCGTGGTGAGTATGACGCCGCAGTCGCGAAGTTGTCCTGCCGATAAGAGATTAAAGCGAAGGTTTGGGACGTAGAGTACGTCGTTGAACGAGATGTGTGTGTTGCTGTCTCGTGCTTGCAGGACCACGATGCCTTGCGCATTGGCGCGCAACTGCTCGTTGTTGGCGACGGTGACGTAAGTTGCGGGGGCGCGGCTCAGGTTCGAGACGTATCGCGTGGATCCCACCATGTGTTGTCCGCAGCAGCTGTCCAGATACCAGGTGTTGTGGTTGTCGGTGTTGGATCTGCGCAGAAGTAGCGCCAGTCGCGGAGTCACCAGAGTTGCCTTGTAGCGTCTGTGGAAGAGGGGGTCTTCTTCTTCCTTCCATCCCACAGGTACGTAATTTTGGTTGTCGTGTGGCGGGCTTTCCCGCAGTGTGATTGGAAGATTCCAATCCTGCTCGTCTTCGTCATACCGGTAATAGTGATCTTCAGTGAGGGGATTATTCCAGCCCTCTTCTGGTTCAAGGAGTCTTCCTTGGATCTCATTCTCTTCGTCAGGCTCAGCAATGCGACGTCGACGCGTCGCCATATTTGCGATGATGTTTCTAGGAGCTCCTGATTGAGGTCCTTGGGTTTGCTGATGTTGATGTTGTGCGAGAGGACGAGGTGTTTGATGCTGAGAGTGAGGATGACGAGCATCTTGTCGGCCGACCCAGTTGTTGTGGTGAGTGGAATTTGGGTGGCGATAGTTGGATCGGGACTTGCATCGATCCGTTGAATGTCCGAAGACTTTGCATATTTTGCAATAGTGGCGCCTCGGTTGTCGTCGCTCTTCACGGTTGTCAGCGTAGAAGGCGAGGCGCTCTCGGCGCGGCGCTGAGCTTGTACTGCTCGAGTCCATGTCCTGCTGTTCAGTCAGGAGTGCGGCGCATAGCGCGGCTTCAGAGATGATTCCTCGCTGTCGGAGTAGCGCTTTGCAGGGCTTCCACTCTGGCCCGAGTCCTTGAAGGACTATGTTGACGAAGATCTCTTCCGAGATTGCGCTCCCATGCTTCGTGATCTGGTCACGGATGTTGCGACAGCGGTTAATATAAGATTTCGCTTTCTCCCCGTGCCCCATCTTTGTCTCCATGAGTTGCTGCAGGAGCCTGCTGGCGGTAACCAAGTCCTTCGGTTGATAAACCTCAATGAGGTGCTTCCAGGCTTCCAAGGCTGGAGCGGCGCTCTCTTTGTAGGAGCGGATGCTTAGTTGCTCTACAGGCGTCATGTTGCGTAGCAGCACGCTATATGCCATGAGGGACCCGCTGTAGTACTGAGCCCTGGCGTCGTCGGTGTCGTCCACCGGTTTAGAGTAGGAGCCGTCGAAGTAATGGTAGATCTGCGCTGTCTGTAGGAGGAGCTCAAGCTCAAAACTCCATGTATAGAAATCCTTGCCGTCAAAGGCGGCGGTAGTCTTGATTTTTGAAACGCTGAGAAAGCGTGCTTGCGCAGAGTTAATGACTTCATCACTTGGACGGGGGGCAGTGGTTGTTGATTTGTCTGTGTCGAGGGAGAAGGTGTGCGCGGCGGTATCACGGCTTTTCATAGCCGGTTGTCCAGGTTGAGCTGGTTGGGAAGAGGTTCCCGCATCGCCTTTGCGCAAATCTTGGAGTTCTTTCTCCATAGTTGAAAGTCGAGCGAATAACTGCTCGAGTGCGGCAGTGCCGATCGTAGTTGTCGCCTCATTTGTCGCAGCCGGGTTGGTTTGTCCTTCAGCCGTCAGATTTGCTTGGCCTCCGGATCCTCCGGCCATCTTGGACTTGGAGCGTGTGCCGCTCGCCAGATCTTGGTTCGGCGAATTTCACGGGAGTGAAGATGCGAAGAATCCCTGAGTAGCTCTCATACCATGTTACAATCCCAAGTGGGACTTAGCGAAGGATCGCTCAGGGTTGATCGCAGAGTAGTGTTGCAGCGGAAGTTTGAATCTCAGGTCAGGGTGAATGTAAATGACTGAGTTGATAAAAGCATGCATACATCGGGTTTATATAAAAAATAAAAGGGAATACGAAAAGACCTAGACTAGCCATGTACTCTAAGGGGTACATTCCCTTATTGCAGCGAAATTCAAACCGTGCGGCGCGGGAACCCGTTTCAAACCTGTTCCCGCTCTTTTCACTTCAAATGTTTCTGCCTGCATCGGTCTTGATCAGACGGTTGCTGCGTCGCTTCGACTCTTCTGACTCCTCGACTTCGTACTCGGTAGAGTCGGCTCCTGCAGCATACTGGAATGCCTACTCATATAATTTCATATCATAATTGCTGGGATATCCCAGCATGTTCTGTTTCCATTCCGTGCTCCCTGTTCTATTCTTTCACCCTGTTCTGCTTGGGCGTCACGTAAGGGACTCTCGTTGTTTGAGCACGAGCAGCAGGTTGAGCAGCGAGCGCATGAAGCTGTTAAGAGGGCCTGTCACGCAGTGTATGTAGCAGTCCATGGCGCCGCCCCCCTTGTGCATATGGCCGTCCGTCCGCATGGAGAGGGGCGTGTCGATGTCCAGATACACGCCGTTGTATTCCTGCAAGGAAGGGGGGAGATGGGGGAGGCAGACTGGGAATGATCTATGGGAGGGGCGTATCAATATCTATTTACACGCCCCTATATTCCCGTATGGGGGGGATGGAGTGGGTGAGGCAGACTGGGTGTGCGTTCCTGTGTGGAGAAGGGTGAGTAGAGGCGTGTTTCTGCATGAAGAGGAATGGGTTAAAAATTCCTGGAATTTCACAAAAGTGTGCGTTCATGCCGGAGTGGTTAACGGGACAGACTCGAAATCTGTTGGGCTCTGCCCGCGCAGGTTCGAATCCTGCTGAACGCGTTGTTTGGCTGTCACTCGCTTAGAGCAATCCCCCTTATAAGAGCAGAGCCTCTGTTGCAGCCGTAGGTGTGTGACCTCTGGGTTTTATTGGCGAGCCCTTTGAAACATTCCATGCTCCTTCCCAGCAACATTGGTCGATGCTGTTGTCCCCACATACCGTACCAGCAACGTCAGTCTGCTGTAGTACCCAAGCCTAGTGCTGGGCTGTTGTGACCAAGCCTAGTGCTGGGCTGTTGTGACCAAGCCTAGTGCTGAGCTGGTGTGACCAAGCCTAGTGCTGGGCTGCTGTGACCAAGCCTAGTGCTGGGCTGTTGTGACCAAGCCTAGTGCTGGGCTGTTGTGACCAAGCCTAGTGCTGAGCTGGTGTGACCAAGCCTAGTGCTGAGCTGTTGTGACCAAGCCTAGTGCTGAGCTGTTGTGACCAAGCCTAGTGCTGAGCTGTTGTGACCAAGCCTAGTGCTGGGCTGTTGTGACCAAGCCTAGTGCTGAGCTGGTGTGACCAAGCCTAGTGCTGAGCTGGTGTGACCAAGCCTAGTGCTGGGCTGTTGTGACCAAGCCTAGTGCTGAGCTGGTGTGACCAAGCCTAGTGCTGAGCTGGTGTGACCAAGCCTAGTGCTGAGCTGGTGTGACCAAGCCTAGTGCTGAGCTGGTGTGACCAAGCCTAGTGCTGAGCTGGTGTGACCAAGCCTAGTGCTGGGCTGGGGCGAACCCCTGCCAGGCATGGTGCTGCTGGCCCGCACACGGTTGAGAAGAAAGAACTCGGATAAATGAAGCAAAACAAGCCATCAGTTTGTATATGTCCAGTCTGCCGCCCTTTTGTCCATTAGCTACAAGAAGGGGATATATACACTCGGCTTTCAGCAAAGAAATCTCTTCCGTTCCAGGGAAAAAAACTCTGGAGCAATATCATCAAGCGAACAGCCAGTGCTTCTTTTTCGGCTGAGTTGGTGGGAGGCCTGCAAACAGCAGAGGAGAACCAATGAATGACGTTAAAGTACAATTACTACATTATCTTCACTACGCGGGAATGGTGCCTAGTGCCGGCAGTTCGCATAAAGCACAGTGGAAATTCTCGTCCATTGCAAGGCTGAGAAGCAGAAATCACTTTGCTCTGGCACTCTGTGCTAAAACGGCCCCAGGCGGCAACGCAAGCACCAAACTTCCAGCACTGTAAACCTGACTCTACCGGCACACTACTTTTGGCACTGTAAACATTACTATAGAGGCACTCACTTTCAGCACTGTAGACAGAGTTGTAGTGTACTTCCGCCCAGAAGCTGAGCCATAGCTCTGACCCACAGGCAGGCAAAGGGACAAACAGATGCAGATGGGTGTAAAGCGGTATAAACACAAGCAGAAGAAGAGTTGAAGGAATGACTCTGGTAAACGGCTTTATTGACCACCAAAGCTTGACTTTGAAAGTTTGAAATCACTACACCACTCCAAGTCTCACATTTGCCGGGTTGGCCAAGGCATGGGAAGAACTAGTCTTGGCCGACCCGGAAAATGTGAGTCTTGGAACGAGGAACTTGTCTCCAGCAAAGCAGATCACTTGGTGCCTCTTGAAGAACATAAAACGGCTCTGGCAACGCTTAGGTGACTCTCTCATGCCCATTGCTGACTTAGGAAAACTCATGCCCTATTAAATCACTCCAACACTCGCCTTTGGTGGGTTTGCCTTGGCAAGGGAAGATCTCTATTAAAAACTGGTCTCCTGGGTAGGAGGTGATGAGGTTAATCTTGGCTCCGTACTGGCGGGGAGGGAGGGAGTGGAAGGGCATGGAGCTTGGGGCATGCGCGAGCATGCAAATACGAGGAAAGAACTGGTCTCCTGGGTAGGAGGTGATGAGGTTAATCTTGGCTCCGTACTGGTGGGGAGAGAGAGAAAGGAAGGGCATGGAGGTTGCGGCATGAGCGAGCATGCAGAATATGAGGAAAGAACTTGTCTCCTGGATACGAGGTGATGAGGTTGATCTTGGCTCCATACTGGTGGGGTGGGGAGGGAGAGAAAGGAAGGGCACGGGGTGTGGGGAATGAGGGGGGGCCATGGGGAATGGAGTATGACGACACTTGAGACACGGCGCATGAGACACGGCGCATGGGCCATGGCACATGGGCCACGGCACATGGGCCACGGCACATGGGCCACGGCACATGGGCCACGGCACATGGGCCACGGCACATGGGCCACGGCACATGGGCCACGGCACATGGGCCACGGCACATGGGCCACGGCACATGGGCCACGGCGCATGGGCCACGGCACATGGGCCACGGCACATGGGCCACGGCACATGGGCCACGGCACATGGGCCACGGCACATGGGCCACGGCACATGGGCCACGGCACATGGGCCACGGCACATGGGCCACGGCACATGGGCCACGGCACATGGGCCACGGCACATGGGCCACGGCACATGGGCCACGGCACATGGGCCACGGCACATGGGCCACGGCACATGGGCAACGGCACATGGGCCACGGCACATGGGCCACGGCACATGGGCCACGGCACATGGGCCACGGCTCATGGGCCACGGCGCATGGGCGACGGCACATGGGCGACGGCACATGGGCCACGGCACATGGGCCACGGCACATGGGCCACGGCTCATGGGCCACGGCACATGGGCCACGGCACATGGGCCACGGCACATGGGCCACGGCACATGGGCCACGGCACATGGGCCACGGCACATGGGCCACGGCGCATGGGCCACGGCACATGGGCCACGGCACATGGGCCACGGCACATGGGCCACGGCACATGGGCCACGGCACATGGGCCACGGCGCATGGGCCACGGCGCATGGGCCACGGCACATGGGCCACGGCACATGGGCCACGGCACATGGGCCACGGCGCATGGGCCACGGCGCATGGGCCACGGCACATGGGCAACGGCACATGGGCCACGGCACATGGGCCACGGCACATGGGCCACGGCGCATGGGCCACGGCGCATGGGCCACGGCGCATGGGCCACGGCGCATGGGCCACGGCTCATGGGCCACGGCACATGGGCCACGGCACATGGGCCACGGCACATGGGCCACGGCGCATGGGCCACGGCACATGGGCCACGGCCCATGGGCCACGGCACATGGGCCACGGCTCATGGGCCACGGCACATGGGCCACGGCACATGGGCCACGGCACATGGGCCACGGCACATGGGCCACGGCACATGGGCCACGGCACATGGGCCACGGCACATGGGCCACGGCGCATGGGCCACGGCACATGGGCCACGGCACATGGGCCACGGCACATGGGCCACGGCACATGGGCCACGGCACATGGGCCACGGCACATGGGCCACGGCACATGGGCCACGGCACATGGGCCACGGCTCATGGGCCACGGCGCATGGGCCACGGCGCATGGGCCACGGCGCATGGGCCACGGCACATGGAACTTGGGGAATTGAGCATGCATCACGTGATGAGGTGGTGCATAATGACATGGAGCACCATGACACGTTATGAGATGTTGCACGATGTTGCATGACGACATGGAGCATGAGACATGGAGCATGAGACATGGAGCATGAGACATGGGAATCTAGAAAAGAAAACGCGGCCATGGAGAACGAGAGGAAGGAAGGGAGCATCAAAGAAAAGTAGTATAAATTCCAAGAGCAACTAACCTCACTGCACCGCACTGCACCTCACCTTGTCCGCAGCAGCCTGCGAAGTGATGTGGTCGCCCCACTCGCCATTCCTGAGAGCAACAATAAAAGAGGAATCCGGACCACATCACTTTGCACGTGAGTTCCCACATCAGTTTCCAAGGTGAGTTCACGTGGACCGAGCAACAAGGAGAGGAATGTGATGTGAGGGTTCTCAAGATAACTCTCGATTCGATGCACAGACAAGGAGGAGGAATACGGTAAACGAGGCTGCAGAATGATGTGATGCCATCTGATACCATTCAGTGCTCTTAGATGCGCGTCAGTCCAATTCAGGGCCACTCGGTCCAGTTCAGTGCCACTGACCTCTATTTATCTGCTGTTCGGACAGTTGTAGTAACGGTGCAGAGCTGATTACCTGGCCATGTGTCGGAGGTAGCGAGAGAAGCTGTCCGGCACATGGGGCGAGTAGCGCTCTGTGTGGAGTTTTGAAACTTTCCAACACTGTATCAGTCAGACTCAGTATTCGACTTTTGAGGCGCCTCAAAAGTTTTGAAACGTTCCAAAACTGTATCAGTCAGACTCAGTAGCCATGTGGTTCGTTCCACCTGGCCATGTTTCTGAGGTAGCTTTTGAGTCGACTCAAAAGCAGTTTTGAAACGTTCCAACACTGTATTAGTCAGACTCAGTAGCCATGTGGTTCGTTCCACCTGGCCATGTTTCTGAGGTAGCGGAGGAGAAGCTTTCTCGAGGTGCCTTACCAATCGCTGCACTTCAATCCTCACCTGGCCATGTGCCTGAGGCAGCGAGACAAGTTGTCCGGCACATTCGGTGCCATTCCGTAACAGTCCTCGCTATTCAGTCAGCACCATGTAACGAAATTCACCTGGCCATGTGTCGGAGGTAGCGAGAGAAGTTGTCCGGCACGTAGGGCGAGTAGCGCTCTGAATGAGCCCGCATCTGTTATGCACGCACACACAGACACACATGCGTGTGCACACAGAGAGCAGGGAGCAAACAGAGAGTCTTGAGAGTTCTGGAAAGAGCCCTGCAAAGAGAAGCTGTCAGGCACATAGGGTGAGTAGCGCTCTGAATGAGCCCGCATCTGTTATGCACGCACACACAGACACACATGCGTGTGCACACAGAGGGCAGGGAGCAAACAGAGAGTCTTGAGAGTTCTGGAAAGAGCCCTGCAAAGAGAAGCTGTCAGGCACATAGGGCGAGTAGCGCTCTGAATGAGCCCGCATCTGTTATGCACGCACGCACAGACACACATGCGTGTGCACACAGAGAGCAGGGAGCAAACAGAGAGTCTTGAGAGTTCTGGAAAGAGCCCTGCAAAGAGAAGCTGTCAGGCACATAGGGCGAGTAGCGCTCTGAATGAGCCCGCATCTGTTATGCACGCACACACAGACACACATGCGTGTGCACACAGAGAGCAGGGAGCAAACAGAGAGTCTTGAGAGTTCTGGAAAGAGCCCTGCAAAGAGAAGCTGTCAGGCACATAGGGCGAGTAGCGCTCTGAATGAGCCCGCATCTGTTATGCACGCACACACAGACACACATGCGTGTGCACACAGAGAGCAGGGAGCAAACAGAGAGTCTTGAGAGTTCTGGAAAGAGCCCTGCAAAAAGAAGCTGTCAGGCACATAGGGCGAGTAGCGCTCTGAATGAGCCCGCATCTGTTATGCACGCACACACAGACACACATGCGTGTGCACACAGAGAGCAGGGAGCAAACAGAGAGTCTTGAGAGTTCTGGAAAGAGCCCTGCAAAGAGAAGCTGTCAGGCACATAGGGCGAGTAGCGCTCTGAATGAGCCCGCATCTGTTATGCACGCACGCACAGACACACATGCGTGTGCACACAGAGAGCAGGGAGCAAACAGAGAGTCTTGAGAGTTCTGGAAAGAGCCCTGCAAAGAGAAGCTGTCAGGCACATAGGGCGAGTAGCGCTCTGAATGAGCCCGCATCTGTTATGCACGCACACACAGACACACATGCGTGTGCACACAGAGAGCAGGGAGCAAACAGAGAGTCTTGAGAGTTCTGGAAAGAGCCCTGCAAAGAGAAGCTGTCCGGCACATAGGGCGAGTAGCGCTCTGAATGAGCCCGCATCTGTTATGCACGCACACACAGACACACATGCGTGCGCACACAGAGAGCAGGGAGCAAACAGAGAGTCTTGAGAGTTCTGGAAAGAGCCCTGCAAAGAGAAGCTGTCCGGCACATAGGGCGAGTAGCGCTCTGAATGAGCCCGCATCTGTTATGCACGCACACACAGACACACATGCGTGTGCACACAGAGAGCAGGGAGCAAACAGAGAGTCTTGAGAGTTCTGGAAAGAGCCCTGCAAAGAGAAGCTGTCCGGCACATAGGGCGAGTAGCGCTCTGAATGAGCCCGCATCTGTTATGCACGCACACACAGACACACATGCGTGTGCACACAGAGAGCAGGGAGCAAACAGAGAGTCTTGAGAGTTCTGGAAAAAGCCCTGCAAAGAGAAGCTGTCAGGCACATAGGGCGAGTAGCGCTCTGAATGAGCCCCCATCCGACATGCACGCACACACAGACGCAGCATTCACAACAGAGTCAACATCGTTTTTGCATGATTGTGTAATAAATGCACGGCTCGCACTGACCTGTGAGCTCGAACCATACCTCCATCCATCCCCATCAGCTAGTCAAATCACTCCCGCACAATCTGCGCTCTTGATAAGAGTGAATAGACGTCTAAAAAAATCGCTCTTATCACCGTACATCCATCCCCACCAGCTAGTCAAATCACTCCCGCATAATCTGTGCTCTTCTCCCTATCCCCCTGTTGCGCGCTCTTCTCCCAGCTCAACCTTACACCAGATCCTCTCCCCACGCACCTGCTGCACCACGGCTTGTCGCACGGCGATTGGCGTTGCAGTGCAGCCTTTAGAACCCTTCACCCCACCATAATCCTCACTTTCACACTTTCACCCACCCAACCATAACACTAAATCCTCTCCCCACGCACCTGCTGCACCACGGCTTGTCGCACGGCGGCATGGCGATTGGCGTTGCGGAACAGCTGGTCTGCCAGGGCGCGGAACTGGAGGAGGAGAAAGGGAGAGGCAGAGGGGAGGAGGGAGGGGGGAGGAGGGAGGGGGGAGGAGGGAGGGGTTGATTGGGGGCTGGCACTGGGAGAACAGCTGGTCTGCCAGTGCACGGAACTGGGAGTGGAAGGAGGCAGGGCGAGGGGAGAGGATGAAGCAAGGGGAGGGGAGGGGATGGGGCAGGGGGAGGGGAGAGGACGGGGGGCTAGCAGGAAGTGAGAGAACAGCTAATCCGCCAGAGCGTCAGCTATATCTGGGTCGCTTTTGAGAATTCTCAAAGGGAGCTATGAGGCCTTGGCAAAGGTGCTAGCAGAGAAGGTGAGGAAGTCACCTGGCAATTTCCATCGCCCACCATTGGAATTTCCCGCAGCCCATACACAGCCAGCCTGATGGGGATGAATGAGGGGATGGGGGAAGGAGCAGCGGAAAGGGAAGAGCATGGGAAAGGAGGGCCACGGAGAAAGGGGGGAAGCAGCAGGGCACGGGGAAAGGGGGGAAGAAGCAAAGGAGCAGGAAAGTAAGAGGTGGAGAAGGGGAGGGATCACGGGAACACGGTGAGAAAAAAGTTGCAAAAGCGAGCAAACAATGCAGTAAAGTAAGCAGAGTAAAAGGTACATAAACCAAATAGATGGTACATTAAGCTGAGAGTGGAATCGAGACATAGGAAAATAATAACTGGCCAAACAAGCAAACGGTAAACAGCCCAGAAAACCCACTGGGCACGGACCGAATGGCCAATGGGTTTTTTTGAGACGTCCCAAAAACTTACATCCCGTGGCCAAACAGGCAAACGGTAAACAGCCCAGAAAACCCGGGACACGGATCGAAGAGCCAATGAGTGTGTGTGTTCTTTCAACCCCTCCCTGCATTTCCATCTCCCCCATCCTTCATACTCCCATCCTCCCATCTTCGCATCCACAACTTCCCGTCCTCCCCTACTGAACCCTCCCCGCTCACCTCTCTGTGAGAGTCTGGTGGCTTGACAGGCTCTCTCGCAACGACGGCAGTCGGCCGCTGTTCACACGCATGCTGTGCTGCATGGGGGAGAAAAGGGGGTGGGAAAGGGGGGAAGTGTTGGGGCACGGCGGGTGATAGTGACACTTTACTACTTGTCTCGCAACGAGGGCAGTCGGCCGCTGTTCACACGCATGCTGTGCTGAACGAGGGAGAAGGGGGGGGGGAGAAGGGGGAGGGAGAACGGGGGGTGGGGAGGGGTGGGGGGTTGAAAGGGCGTTACACATGTAGAAAAAGAGAGGTAACAGAAAAACACACACAAAAAGCTCACAGAAAGCGGTTGTCAAAAGGAACGAGGAGCGCCAATAATAAAAACGAAGTCATGTTCTGAAGGTTCTCAATACTATAACGGGTCGGGTATGACACGTACCAGCACGGAGTTAGATCGAGTAAACAGCCTCTTGATCGACCGTCCTCCAGTCGGAGGCTCATTGCAGCTCAACCCAGCGTTGTCTGCTCACAGCACCGCACAGCACCGCACAGGATCGTACACATGGTGGACTTTACGAAGAGGTTTTCAGGAGGAAAGAAGAGGCGAAACGGGCAGCGATACATACCATACGAGGACAATGACTGTTCGAACGTACAGCTTAGGGTTGGGAAGAGGGAGCATGGAAGGGCAAGAAGATTGTTGCAAGGACCAAAGGCAGGTAGGCATTGGCACGCCACCAATCCCCCCCCTCCCATCCCCGGGTGTTGGCATTGACATGAGTACTGAGTTCCTCTGAAGCCAACTTTATAGCCAAAGCGAATTTCCTTTCAGAATTCCAAAAGCCATAGCAAAAGTGAATCCAAAGTGACTCCAATAAAGTGACTCCAATAAAGTGACTCCCATAAAGTGACTCCCAAAAAGTGACTCCAATAAAGTGACTTCCATAAAGTGACTCCCATAAAGTGACTCCCCTAAAGTGACTCCAATAAAGTGACTCCCATAAAGTGACTCCCGTAAAGTGACTCCCATAAAGTGACTCCCATAAAGTGACTCCAATAAAGTGACTCCAATAAAGTGACTCCAATAAAGTGACTCCAATAAAGTGACTCCAATAAAGTGACTCCCATAAAGTGACTCCCATAAAGTGACTCCAATAAAGTGACTCCAATAAAGTGACTCCCATAAAGTGACTCCAATAAAGTGACTCCAATAAAGTGACTCCCATAAAGTGACTCCCATAAAGTGACTCCCATAAAGCCAGACAGGTAGGCCTTCAGAGAAATCGACATCTTGACTTACTGAGTTCCTCTGAAGCCAACTTCATAGCCAAAGCGAAGTCCCCATCTAGCTCCTCCTCCTGTTCCGACCCCACATCATCTTCGTCCTCTTTATAATTATCATCAATATCAGCATCATCATTGTCAAAACCACCGGCCCGCTCTGCTGTTGCGCCTGCTGCCCTTCCGTTCATCCGTACCTGCCCACGCTCCCTCTCCTGTTGCCTCTCCCTCTCCCTCTCCCTCTCCGTCTCCCTCTCCTCCCTCTCCCTCTCCGTCTCCTTCTCCCTCTCCCTCTCCCTCTCCGTCTCCCTCTCCTCCCTCTCCCTCTCCCTCTCCCTCTCCGCCATCTGCAACACCAGCCTTCTGTTCGGCACAGGTGGGGAAGCAGCAAATAGGTCAGGGGACAGAGCAAGAGCAGGCAATGCAGTGTATGGTGAACCTGATACAGCAGGAGAAGCACCTGAGGAATCATCAGCACACGTAACCCCAGGAGGTTCCAACATAACCCCAGGAGATTTTAGCCTAACTCCAGGAGGGTCCAACATAACCTCAGGAGACGAAACACGGGGTGACTGTTTAGGGGTTGACTGTAACGAGGGGTTCACCCACAGGGCATCCTGGGGCGACACAGTAAGCATGTTCCCCGCCCCATAGCCGCCAGGAGAAGCGGTGTTCCCTGCCTGGATGTGACTGTACGCGAGTGTGACTTCAGCGGGGTCTGATAACGACCTGGTGAGGGGATTGGGTCCAGGAGCAGCGCCAGGGCCAATCCACGGGCTGGATTGAGTTTCAGGAGGGAGAATCAACGGGCTGGATTGACTTTCAGGAGGGAGAATCGACGGGCTGGATTGAATCTGAAGGGGGGCAATAGACGGACTTGATTGACTTTCAGGAGGTCCGAAGGATGGGCTTGAAACAATCTCAGGGTGGCCAATGGACGGGTTTGATTGACTCTCAGGAGGGCCAATCAACGGGCTTGATTGATCACTGGGGCTGGATAATACATTCGGCTCAGCAAGCGAATAGGCCACCGCTGCCTGCCCTGCTGCTACTGCTGCCACTGCTGGTCCTGTTGCAACTGCTGCGACTGCTGCTGCTGCTGGAGCTGCTGCTGCTGCTGGTCCTGCTGCTGCAGCTGTGGCAGCTGCTGCTGGTGCTGCGGGTTCCCTGACTGCATCCCTCCTCTCTGGTTCCCATGCCCGCACCACGGGAGACAGCCACCGCATGGGGGAAACTCCCCTGCCAGGGGACCGGCCTTTGCCTGCCTGAACCCCCCTTGCTGGCGAAAACCCCCTTGCTGGCGAATTCCCTTTTCCTTGCGAATTCCTTCCCCCAGGCGAATTTCGCCGGACCCTCCCGTGTCCAGGCGCATCCCCCCTGGACAGCCTCCCTGTCGCGCCTTCTCCCCTCCCAGGCAGGGTCGGAAACAGCCCCCGGAGCCAATCCTCCGCGCCTCCCAACCACGACCCTGGCGCCGAACCTGAGCCAGCACCCGAACCTGCTGCTTCGGAGTCGGCTTCCCTAAGAAATTCCTCCTGTAGCGCTGCTGCTATGGCGTGATCGTCCGAATCTGCTGCAAGAGATTCTGTTTGGATGGACGGCTGTGATGCAGACTTTCCTCTGCTCTTCCCCTTCGCTTCCGCTGCAAGGTGCTCCTCCTCCTCCTGTAGCGCTGCTGCTATGGCGTGATCATCTGAGTGTGCAGCTGGGACTACAACAGTTGAAATTTGCCGTTGGGACCCTGAATCCATGGTGACGTCAGCGGAGGGTGGTACGACTGGTGTAAGTGAAGGACTCGGGTATCGAGCGGTGGAGCCCGGTTGGGAGTACGGTTCTTGACGCCAATGGATGGGAACGGCTTCAGTTGACGATCCTACGTAGAGCGGATTAAAGAGGGAAGATACGGGTGCTGCTATTTCATTTGGCAAAACTGTGTTCGCACTCCCACACCATTCTTCATAATCGTTCCGAGGTACCATCTATGCTAGTAGCGGTAACAGTTCACAAACCATGGATGTTCATAAACCATGGATACGGCGCCCGACCCTACATTCGGAACTAAATTAAGGTTTTTGTCAATCACGTGAATCTCGTCAGACAAACTGGGCTGTGAAGTCAAGTCTGGTTAGCAACAAGCGGCAGCAGAGAGACGTGGAGTCGCTGTGTAAGAGGATGCGAGAAGCTATAATATAGTGAAGAGAGCAGAAAAGTGAGGGGAACAAAATTAGGGTGCTGAAAAAACATAATACCTCGTAATTCCACTCAACCAATTTAGAAATTACATTAACCGTGCTAGAACGTGCAACACCACTTTCGATTCTATGTAAGTGAGATTTTGACATGTCTTGCATCGCCAGGGGTGCTTTTGGTGCCGAAGCGGACCGCTGGGACCTTCGCGAAGTTCTCAAGGCTGGATATACGAGAGGTTGCGTTGGGTTGGGATGGTTCCGAAGTGGTGGCAGGGATGTCTCGCAAATTCTCTAAATGGGGCACTTGCCATTTCGCGGGTCGAAATGGCGTCACTGACACGTCAAGTGGTCCTCCTCACGGCTTCCATCAGCTCTGCCAACAAATGTCAGCCTGGTAACCGAAGCGACGGAATCTGGGCTCGTTCGACACAAGAACTGGCTCTTCGCTGCGATTGTCAGCTATCGCCACGCTAGCTAACGAAATTCGCTAGTTGTCAGCTCCCTCCCCTCACATGCTCCGAGGTCGTAGGCTGCCTGCTAGAGAAAAATGAAATTCCAGCTTACTTCATTTTCAGTAGTAGAAATTCCTGTCAGCTAGACCATAGTGGAGTCCCGTGCTAGGCTAATGAAATTCCGTTAGCTAGGTTATTGTGACATCCTCTCTGGAAAGGCTACCGTGCAATCTGCTGGCTAGTGCGGCACCCTGATATTTAGACTACCGCGGAAACCCGTCTGCTGGGTTATTGCAAAATCTCTAGAATCTATCTCAACTTGACAGCCTAGAGCTGTTGTTCCTCCAATCAATGGGGTTCTGAAAGCTCCAGACTCGTGCTACACAATCCGTCGATTTGCTGAATTGAAGGATGCCGTCGTTTGGTCTCAGATCCAGCTCCGAAGGCAAGCCTCCTTACTGATTTTTGTCCGTTTTTGCGAAATCGGTTCTTTGAGTGGGTTAATATTCCTCAATACGAATTTGACACTCGTTGGCTTATCCTCTTTGCTCTCCTTTCGTTCCTTCAGATCTCCTGTTGCGACTTTACACATCTATCTGTATCGCTACAATGGATCGTCATACCAATTTTGCATGGTTTCCCTTCCCGTGCTTCTTTTCTGTGTGAACAGAACCGGCTTCACTAGAATCTGACGTGTCACCACAGCATGCCAGAGTCAGCTCGAGTCAAATACAGTCAGATCCGGCCAAATCAGACCCAGAAGCTTCTGGAATTTTGTCGGAACCAGCTTCTGCTGCCCAAGATGCAATCGGTAATGTTTTTGTTTTTTTGGGAAAGTCAGCGCATGCATGTCCAGGTTCCGTATCTAATTCACTGCATGAGCCTACTTTTCCTGAGTCTGTTAGAATCTTATGATGATAGTAGCACTGAAGCCTTCTCTCCTGATTGCTTTCCAGGTGCAGCAGACGAGAAGGACGGACTAAACACGCCAGCTGAGCACTTAACGCCGCCACCTGTGCTGCAGCAGCAGCAGCAGCAGCAGCAGCAGCAGCAGCAGCAGCAGCAACAACAACAATCACCAGGAGCAAAGCTTGACCCAGTCCTTAGCTCCCAGCAGCAGCAGGAGAAACAGCCTAAGCGAAAGGAACGAGAACAACGCAGCATTCGTCCAAAGCCTCAATCGGTCCCTTCAGTCCTGTCAGCTTCTGCTTCTGCAGCCTTGTCAACCCCCGCTTCAAGCGCCAACCAGCCTCCACCTGCGTTCCCGGATCCAACCGTTAGTCCCGGCGCACCTGCTCAGCCTACCGTGAATATCGAGTCACCTGCAAATGTTCAACCTTCAAATCTTGAGCCACTGAAGTTCGGACCAGTTGCTAACGAGTCAGCTAGTATCGAGTCAGGAGTGCCTTTGGTGGTGATGGATGACAGCGGTGGGAGGCTGGAGCTGTGGGGAGTGGGATTGGGGTTGGGATTAGAGGGGTCGTCCTCAGGGGCCCGTGTGTCGCGTGTGGTGGCGAATCTCTCTCGTGTATACCGCTTTGCTGTTCAACGGAGCATGTGGCAGACGGCTCAGCTGCAGCCGTATCAGCAGCCACTGCAGCAGCAGCAGCGTCGAGGTCAACAGCAGCACAAGAAGGATGGGAGTGGGCAGAGGACGGTTGGGCCTGGGAGTGCGGCTTCTGCAGCAGGAAATGGCAATCAAGCAAGTTGCAGTTCCAGCCATGCTACAAGCCATGCTACCAGCGATATTCCAAGCCATGCTGCGAGGCAGGTTACCAGCTGTGGCGAAGAGGAGGGCAGCTGGGAGGATGTGGTGGCTGGTGAGGCGGCAGAAACTGCAGGCAATCTCGAGTCAGCGCTTCTTGACTTGTCGGAATCGCTGCTGCTCTTCCTTCCTCGGAATGAGGGGATTGGAGGGATTCGGGGGATTGGGGGGACCGGGGGGATTGGAGGGGCTGCGGGAGGAGTGGTTCTAGCAGGAGAGGGTGTGCCTGCGATGGAAACAGCTGCAGGAGTGGCTTTAGGAGTCCCTGCAGGTGCAGCTCGGCCAGCAGCAGCAGCTTCAGGCCAGCACGGCCGTTTTGAGCCGAGTCAGAAGATGTCTGCTGGTGCAGCTTCAGCTCCGCGCCTGCCTGTGCCTGCTGCTGCGTCTTCGCCTTTTCCCCCGCTTCCTCCTCCCCCGTTGACCTCTCTGCACTCGCCTCACGCTCTGGAGCCTGAGTTTCTGAAGCAAGAGGGTGGCGGCTCTCCTCCTCCTCCTGCTCCTCCCCCTCCCTATCACCCTCCCCCTCCCCATCACCCTCCCCCTCCTCACCACCCTCCCCCTCCTCATCACCCTCCTCCTCCTCACCACCGTCCTCCTCCTCACCACCCTCCCCCTCCTCACCACCCTCCTCCTCCTCACCACCCTCCTCCTCCTCACCACCCTCCCCCTCCTCACCACCCTCCTCCCCCTCACCACCCTCCCCCTCCTCACCACCCTCCCCCCCATCACCACCACCATCCCGCGCACCATCCTCTTCCTCACGACCCTCCCTCTCCTCACCCTCTCGTTCCTCCCCCTCACCACCCTCACCCGTCTCACGACCCCTTTCCCCACCACCACTCATACCAGCACCACTACTTCTCCCCTCCTTACCACCACTTCGCTCCTCCTCCTCCTCCTCCTCCTCCTCCTCCTCCTCCTCCTCCTCCTCCTCCTCCTCCTCCTCCTACTCCTCCTCCTCCTCCTCCTCCTCCTCCTCCTCCTCCTCCTCCTCCTCCTCCTCCTCCTCCTCCTCTTGACGCCTATCCTCACCCACTTGCGGATGCTTAAGCGTTCACCTCTCCCCCTCCGCCTCCGCATGCTCATTCCCCCCCGCCTGCGCTTTCCTCTCAGCCTTCCCATAATCCACCATCCCCTCATGACCTCTTTCCAAAGGCTGCCCAACCGGTTAAGGCCACCGAGGGGGGAGGTAGGCCTGAAGTGATTCTTGAGGCGCCTCGAATAGCACCCCTACCTGGTGACCTTTCTTCAGTTGCCTTTCAACCAGTCAAGGCAAACGAGCGAGAGGGTAGCATTGGGGAGAAGCAGGGTGAGAGGGGGGGGTGGGAGGAGATGGGGGAGAGGGGGGTGAGTGGGGAGAGGGAGAAGCAGGAGAAGCAGGAGAGGGGGGAGAAGGGGGAGTTGAAGGAAAGGGAGGGGAGGGGGGTGAGAGAGGAGAGGGAGGAGAGGAAGGAGAGGGAGGAGAGGGAGGAGAGGGAGGAGAGGGAGGAGAGGGAGGAGAAGGAGGAGACGGGGGAGAGGGCAGCGATTGAAGAGGAGGAAAGGGAAGAGACAGAGGAAAGAGATGAGGGGGAGGACAGGGAGGAAAGGAGGGAAAATGATTCAGAAGCGAGCGAAGGAGCTGGCAGGCTAACAGGAGAGGTGGGGAGTGGCGAATGGGAATGCATCCCCAGGGGCGATTCTTGAGGAGAGTGGCGTATTCTTGTCTCGTCAAGACTCCTCATTGCAGGAGTCCCGGCGAGTGGAATGTAAGCCTGGAAGCAGTTTCTGAGGTGCATCGAAAATCACGAGGGTACCCGCCGTCAAGAACTGTGTCCAGACCCCTGGAGGCGGATCTGGCTCAGGGGGAAGGAACTCAGGAGGGGCGCAAAGGCCGGTCTTGAGGCGCCTCAAAACTAGTTTCCAGACCCCTGGAGGCGGATCTGGCTCAGGGGGGACTCGGGAGGGGCGCAAAGGCGGGTTTGAGTCCAATTTGAAATGATGTTCTTGCTGGGAAGAGCACGGGAGGAGCGTGGAGGCAGTGGTTGTTACTGGTTTTGAAGCCCGGTGCTGGTTCAGGTGGAGGGGAGTAGGAGCATGCAGGGGAGTTTTGTTCCGTTTTAAGAACCCAGTTCTGGCTCAGGTAGAGAAGAAGTGACGCGGAGAGTAGAGGCAGGCAATGAGGGGGGAGGAGGTGGGGGGTAAGCATGGTGAAGAGGGTAAGGGTATGTTGATGGGGTTGATGAGAGGGGAAGACAGAGGCAAATAAAGAAGAGGAGGGGGCTTACTTGAGACCAATGAGGAGCACGCATGGTGAGGGGAGCACGCATGGTGAGGGGAGCACGCATGGTGAGGGGAGCACGCATGGTGAGGGGAGCACGCATGGTGAGGGGAGCACGCATGGTGAGGGGAGCACGCATGGTGAGAAGAGCACGCATGGTGAGAAGAGCACGCATGGTGAGAAGAGCACGCATGGTGAGGAGGGGAATTGCAATGAAGTCCAGGGGTCTAAGACGCAGCAACAGCATGAGGCTGGGACAACTGGTTCAAACCACGACGATGAGCAGCAGGGAATTGGGCAGCAGGGGATGAGCAGCAAGGGGGTGAGCAGGGAAGTGGGCAGCAGGGGGGTGAGCAGCAGGGGGGTGAGCAGCAGGGTTGAGCGCATTGTGGGTGAGCTGGAGAGATTGGATTCGTGGGAGAAAGACAATTGACACGTCAGTGTATATATGTGCTGGTGTTGGACAGGTTAAGGCCTTGCTCGTAGCTGCTCTTGTAAATAGCACTGTCTCGTAAGAATGGTTATGGGTTTTGCTGCAATGCAAAGGCTTTGTTCTCAAGCACTTACGAGGAGCTGAATGCACAGGGGCATCAAGATCAGGTGGTGGAAACATTGGGGTGAAATGTGATGCTGCGCTTTCTTGTGGTGCACGTGACCCTGAGATGATGGGAGCATCAGGTACCGGTTCCGTATGCAACATTGATTCCCTCCAAGTGGCTTGTACGTAATGTACATAGGAGTAGCAAGAGAGTGATAATTATCAATCTTACAAGAAAGAACCTTTGGAAAGGGACGCGGATAGTGTGCATGGTTCATAACCAATGTCCTGTACAAAGCACATCATGTGAATCCCTTATACCGTAAAAACTAAAAGGAGCACCAAAACAATCCAGAAACTATGGGTTACAGGGATTTTGTTTTGAGAAATCGACCCCCCCTCGTAGTGTATTTCTTTTGTTCCACTTCGAAAGCCAGGTGAACCTCTATCGAATACATTCATGCCTTCGAACCGACCCGAACCTTGACAGACTCACGCCCAGCGGTTTTGAGGTGGTCCTACCTCCGCCAGCCTCGGTCTGAAACTGCTGGTTGTTGCCGACCAAACCTGGCGAACTTTGATCTTCAAGGGGGTCCCTGGAGAACCGAACCAGGGCTCCCAAGAGTCACACCCAAGCCAAAGACCCACAGAAGATTCTCCTGACCCGACCTTGAAACTTGCGCTTCCCTATTCCTTGCAGCGCGGTTGGCTCAGAGGCCTTGTTTCAAATTCTCTCCTTTCCCCTCACCACTTCTCCCGCCTTCTCCGCACGCCATTCGCGCGACATCTGCGCCATATGCGCTGTTCTGCGCTATTCACTTCACTCGTCTCTGCCATTCCTCCCCGCACAGCTTTCCTCTTGTTTGTCGCTGATGTCCGCCTCAGGTCGCGGTCCTGGGGTGTCCTGGACACCCATCAGGCCTCCAGCTCAGCGTTAGGTGTGGGAAACACGTGCACTTCGAGTGTGCAGCTGATTGCGTGTACAACAAAAGTAGGTCTAAAACCCCGGGGTTTTAGACCTTTCGCGAATGATGTTTCGACAAGTAGTCGAGCAGATATTAGCAGACTCATGTCAGTGGAGGGCATGCCAGGAACACGTGCTGATGCTGACGTGTGTGTCCAGAGTTCGGGTGTCCTGGACACCCCAGGACCGCGATCTCAGTCGCTGCCAATCACCATTGCTCCCTAGGTTCCACTGACTACATCGGGCCCATTCCCCACTTCGAACAAAGTACTGATTACAGTACTGTAGACGTCGCACACACTCGATGTCCTCTGAAGAAACCGTTCTCAGCAAGGTTGAAAACGTCGCACACTCGATGTCCTCTGAGGAAACTGTTCTCTGGAAAGCTGGAATGGAAACGTCGCACACACTCGATGTCCTTTGAAGAATCTGTTCTCTGGAAAGTTGGAAACGTCGTACACACTCGATGTCCTCTGAAGAAACTGTCTCAGCAAGGTCGGAAAAGCTTCGTTGGTAAAACAGTGGTCTCTTTGACCAGTAGTATTGAGCGTTGGAAAGGTGTGCGAGCTGGAACGGCCCTCAAGAGGTAGACGACGACCGACAATAACGGTCGCACATTGTCGCACTCATATTGCTTTGTAGAGCAGTTGTAACTTCGGATCGGTCGGAAGTGCCTTGTTCGTGACGACACGGAACGCGGCCTCAGTAGCTGTCGCTCATGGTTCTTCACCAGTTCGCCGACGCAAGCAACACCACCACAACAGCCCGCGTACCAACCTGTGTCTTGGTGCAGCAAGCATGTTTTGGCGAGCGAGGAAGCAGCAATTTACTGCACATGCATGTGGCAGAATGTAAAATTAGGGTTTGCTGCTAGATGCGCACCACATGTCGAGTCTGTCAAAAAGTCGGACCACCACCAATCCAACCACCCGCGTTCCCAAAACTACCAGCAACCCGCACTTGAGATAAGTTATAAACGTCGCCGTTAGGGATGCCGGTGGCGAAAGGGAGTGACGGGCGTGCTGGCCGTCCACCTAACCGGCCGAGCATGAAAATCCTTCTTCCGTCAGACTCGTTCGTGTTGAAACGTGCTGCGGCGGCGGCTGCCGCTGCAGCCGCTGCTGCAGCTGAGGCAGTTGAAACGCATCTGGAAGTTCCGCCGGAGTTCGTTTGCCCGCTGTCGTTACAACTCATGTCCGATCCAGCAATCGTTGCATCTGGTCAGACGTACGAACGGGCAGCTATCCAACGATGGTTCGACGAAGGTCACACGACCTGCCCGAAAACTGGCGACCGCCTAGATCATACGCACCTTTTATCGAATCAGGCTTTAAGGGATCTGATCTCCTCTTGGTGTGACAGAAACGGGGTCACACCCGGTTTAGTCACTACTTTGGTCCCTGGAGCCGATTTCGGGCCATCATCGGCAGGAATTCCCGCAAGTTCCGGGGGAGGCGATGGCGGAAGCGGCAGTGCGCGCGGAAGGGGGAGCGGGTTCTGGTCGGAAGGCGGAATGAGCGAGGATGAAGGGCGCACTAGCAGCGCCAGGGGCGCGCGGAACGGCGAGAGGCCTGTGTTGCGCTCTCCCCGGGGGCGGGGGGGCGGAAGCGCAAGCGCAACTCCCACCGGCAGAGGCGGAGCGCGGATTCCCGAGTCGCCTAGAAACCCTCCGTTTGATCTCCGCTCCCGCACCCCCCCGCCTGGAAATCTAACCGGGTTTGGGCGGGGTGGCGGAGCGGAAGGGGTGGGGGGAGTGTTGCGCGTGTCCAGCGCGGGGGAAGGCATAGGCGCAGTTGTACGCATGGAAGGCGCGCCCAGCTGGCGGAAAGGGCAGGGGGGAACCGAGTTAGGCGGAACGGCGGGTCAGGGGAACGTGCGCCTGGTAGGCGGAGGGGGCCTTGCGCGCAACCGTGATGGCGGAGCGGGTTTGCGCAGAACGCACTCAGTGGAATCGAAAACCGCGATACTGGACATGTTTTTATCGGATGACGGGGAGGATGATGTCGAGGATAGACGAAGACTCGCGCCACAGCAGCAGCCGCTGCAGGGGCATGTAGCGAGGGAATTTGCAGGAGGAAGCAGGAGAACCGTAGGATCTGAATCTTGGAGTGCATCCGACGACCGAGCTTTCGCGAACCTTCGGCAGCAGCAGCAGCAGCAGCAGGGACAGAGCGGCGGTGGCGGCGGCGGCGGCGGCCTTGCCCGGTCCGCCCTAAAGGGCATGGCGCACGCGCTTTCCCCCATGCGCGGAGGCCGCGTGGGGAACCTAAGGACGGGGGCGGCGGGGGGAGGCCCCGGGGGAGGACTCGGCGGCGCAACTGCTGGCGGCGGATTGGGGGAAGGGCTCCGCCGAACCATCTCCCTGCAGCCCGGGGACACGTCATCCGCGCGCCAGCCAATCACAGCCTTCCACGACGTACTAGATAGCGTCCTGCTGGAAAAGGCTGGCAGCGGGAGGGCGAGCGGGCGTGAGGGAGGGGGGAGTGCTCGCGCGGAGGGGGTAGCCGCCGGGGGGGAAGCGGGGGGGAGCGGTCGCGGGGGCGGATGCGGAAGCGGAGGCGCTGCACTGGCGAGGGATTTCGCTAAAAGCCCGCTGCATAGAAGCACGGCGCAGAACCCCGCGCGGACAGCGCAGCTCGCGCGCGGGGAAAGTAAGGGCAGAGGGGCGGGCGGAGGTTTGGGCGGGGCGCGAGGGGCAGGGGGTCTGCTTCGGGGGGGTTCATTGCAGCCGCAGAACCTGATACCTGGAAGAGGGGGCATGGGGGATGGGGGCGCCGGGCAGAATGATTTTTTGGCTGCCCTAGAAAGTTTTCATGGGGAAGGGAAGAGCGTGAGGTCAGACGGGGGGGGGATTTCTGGAAGGGTTATGAGCGGGGGTGGAGTGCGGTTGGGAGGGATGGTGGGAGGCGGAGGAGGGAGCAACCCTGGCAGTTCTAGGGTTCAGACTCAGCAGGTGTCTCAGAGAAAGCATAGGTCTTTTGAATTTGAATCGAGGGGAGCTCATAACGAGGATGATGAGTTCGATATAGGTACAGGCGCTAAGGATGGTGGTCGTAACAGCAGCGCCAGGGGCAGCGGCGGCAGGCAGCAAATGAAGCCGAAATCGTTCGAGTTTGTGAAACGGGGGGCTTATAGCGAGGACGACGAGTTTGACTTCGATACAAGCAGCAGCGGCAGGAGCGCAGGGCACAGTGCCAGCAGCAGCGGCGGCGGCAGCAGCAGACAGCAAGGGCAAGGGCAGGGGCAGGGGCAGGGGCAAGGGCAAGGGCAGGGGCAGGGGCAAGGGCAAGGGTTGGGGCAGGGGCAAGCGCAGGGGCAGGGCTCCGGACTAGCAAGAACCGGAGGTAGTAGGATGGGCGGCGGTGGGGGAGGCGGAGGGGGAGGTGGAGGGGGAGGGGTAGGCGGAGGGGGAGGCGGGGCAGCAGGGGCAGCGAGAGGCGGGGGAGGCGGGATGGGGAACCCGATGAACATGGCTGCTGGATTCGGAAAGGCGATTGGCGGAGGTCTAAAAAAGGCGGGCGCTACAGTAGGAGACGGGTTACGCAGAGTTTCCACTGTAGCTCCTGCGTCCTCGTCATTGGATGATCCGTTAGGGCAGTCGTTTCACGAGGTGGTGAGGCAGCTTAAAGCGGGGATGGGTAAGGTGGTGCAGGGGGGGCAGCAGGTGCAGCAGCAGGTGCAGCAGCAGGTGCAGGGCCGGCTGCGTGGCGCCTCTGCTGCTGTTGCTTCTGCTGGTACTGCTGCTGCCGGTACTGTTTCTGCTGCTGCTGCTGTTGCTGCTGCTGCTGGCGGTGTTGGTGCTAGCAATTCTCCCCAGAAGCCAACACCAGCAGCAGCAGCAGGGGTTAAGAAATCCAGCAGCACGGGAGGCTCAGCAGTGGAGTTGATAGGCCTCGCGAGCACATACCCTCCCCGTGGCGCCTCTTCCGCTGCTACAGCCCTGGCTGCTACAGCCGCTACAGCCGGCGCTACAGCTGGCGCTACAGCCATCACGAGTCCCCCAGAAACTTCCGCGCAGGAGCGCACCTCCCGCCTCTTTCTCGGGCCTATCAGCCCCGGCAGCAGCAGCGACAGCAGCAGCGGGTTCAGCAGCAGCGGCGGAGGGCTCGATTTCCCCAGCCCGCGGGTCCCAGGAGGGGGCGGAGGCGCAGGGGGAGGGGGAGGGGGAGGCGGGGGGGGGAGGGGGGAGCGGAAGCAGCGGATCGCTGGAGATCAGAAGCCCCAGGGGGATCGTTTTTCTTGATGCGCGGAGCCCCCGCGCTCCTGGCGGTGGTGGCGGAGGGGGGGGCTTTGGGGACGGGGGGAGACGAGGGCGGGTGAGAGGAGGGGGGTCGGGGGGGAGTGGGGTGGGGCCGGGGTCGAAGGGGGTGGGCGCAGGGGCGGACGGGGGGAGGGGAGGGATGGGGCGGAAGACTGGTAGTGCAGGGAACATGCTGGGTTTGTTCGATGCGATGAGGGGAGGGGCAGGGGGAGGGGGAGGGACAGGGGCAGGGGCAGGGGGAGGGGCAGGGGGAGGATCAGGGGGAGGATCAGGGGGAGGAGGGGGAGGAGCAGGGGTGGGGGAGGCGAGTGCAGGGGGCAGAGGGGGAAGGGAGCGTTGGCCTTTGAGCCCTCTAGGGGGTGGTTCGTCAGACTGGACGAGGAAAAAAGAGCACCCGGATTCTCCCCAGCGCTCTCGGCAGCAGCAGCAGCAGCAGGATGCTACTGGGGCAGCAGCAGCAGCAGCCTCGAAAGGTGCAGCTGCTGCTACCGCTTCTGCTGGTGCTGCTGTTTGTGCTGCTGTCGCCACTGACACATCGGATGAGGTGCGGGAGTTGCTTGCAACTATCCGCTCCTCCTCCTCCTTCTCCTCCTCCTCCGCCTCCTCTACTTCTTCTCAGTCCAACAAGCCATCATCTTCTTCTGACCGTCAGCTAAGAGAAGCCGTATCGTCTCTCCGATCGCTCCTTAGGAAGCAGCCTGCGGCGAAGGACATCACGGTGGAGTGCGGTGGAGTGCGGCTCATTGTGGATCTGCTCTCTGCCTCTGATATGAAAACGCAGGAGCATGCAGTTTCGTGCCTGCTTTTGGTATCTCTAGTGAAAGGGGTAGCTGGGGAGATAGCAGCGTGCAATGGGGTGCAGCAGCTGGTAAATCTGCTTCAAAGCGGCACTGTAGCTTCAAAAGAAGGCGCAGCAGCAGCGCTGTTCACTCTGTCCGTTAGCGAGTCGCTTCTTATGGAGGTTAGGGGGAGCGGGGCGGTGCCACTGCTACTGGATGTGCTTAAAACGGGGTCCACTAGAGGGAGGAAAGACTCAGCCCTCGTGTTATTCAACGTATCGAGAGACTCGAAAGGGGCGTTGGAGTTAGTTCAAGCGGGTGCGGTGGAAGTGCTTTTAGAGGTGCTTGCTTATAAAGAGTCGGGGTTGGAAGAGAAAGCAATGGCGGTGCTGGCTAATATCTGCCGGTTGAAAGAGGGCCGTGCTAGGCTTGTAGCAGCAGACGGAAAAGGCTGGGCTGGTGGTGGGAGTAGTGGTGGTAGTGGCAATGGTGGCAGTGGTGGCAGTGGTAGGAATGGTGCTAGTGGTGGTGGTGTGGGTGATGCGATTGCAGTGTTGGTTGCTGTTGTTGCTAGCGGCTCGCCGAGAGCTCAAGAGGACGCTATTATGACCCTGCTGCTACTGGCTACTGGGGGGCATTTGAGGGGAGGTGGTGAGGGGGATGGTGGAGATGGGAATGGGGAGGAGGATGGGGAGGAGTTGGGAAGGAGGATGGTGGAGGAAGGGGTTTTGCTGGCTTTGGAGGAGTTGTTACTAAGTGATGTTTGCTCGGGGAGAGTGAAGGCGAAAGCGCAAGCGCTGGTTGATGTTTTGCAGGGTACAGATGAAGCAAATGGTTGAAAACCTATTCTGTGCGATGAGCCATGGTTCGCAAATGTAGCGATTAAATTATTATGAAGCAATATTTATCTTCCCCCAAGAAATATCCGAATGCATGCACTAGTGTAGCAGAAATGAAAAATTCGATTGCATACAGTACTTGCTATTTGTTTACCGGGTCTCAATTTCAAAACGGTATCATTCTATCGTGTTTATTACAGTATCCTCGTCATCGGCTCCTTTCACCTTTCCCTTCTCGTCCTTGTCATCCGGTCAACAAGACTAGCCTTCCGTTCAAGTTATGCAAAGGACACCAATGCAGCTCAGCGTTGTTTCTCGGGAGAGAAGGGACGGTTGTTTTTCTTTCTAAAACTGTTGCATGTCACGGGAAGTGACCAAGGATTGATGATGGCTTCGTGCTGCGCTGGCCATCAAATAGAGCGCTCACAAATGCATTCATAGCTGACAGGATGCAGCAGCAGGTCGGTGTGGGAGGCCTGGGGAGCGGCTACAGTACAATATCATGCGGTTTAGATCTGTTTCTCCGTTGCGACCGCCTCACTCGAGATTTCCTTGCTTGGAATCCGCTGGGAGCAGCACTGTGAAGTACGGTCTACGCAATTACTTTGTATGTGAGCCTAAAGACCTTCACATGACCGTGGCCTCCGGGTACATTGTCAACACAATAGTGAAAATGAAGGTGAAAATTGTTCGTAAAGGTAGAATGGTGGGTAGATCGGCCCTTTCGGGCTGGTGTAAGCTTCCCTGGTTAACCCACCACCCAGCTCAGCATGGCACCGAGCACCCAAAAACTACCACTTGCCTGTTGGCAGTGTAGGAACATTAAATCTGGAAAGCTGTCAACGACACGCCAAACCGTACACCGAAAGTTGCCTCAGGAAGTGCAAACTGAGGTTTCAGGAAGTGAGTACGTACCGCAAATGAAACCAATATGTGTGTGAACACAAAATCAATAACAGTAATTCTGTTTTCCAACTTTACCCAATAACTCGAAAGTGTAGCCCGACCAGATTTCACAGAACTTCGTAATGTAGCCCCACCAATAATAAAACGTACCTGTATGCCTCGGAGAAGATACTTCTGGATAACAGTGCTGCTGCAGTGCAGTCATTCATTTCCCTGCCGTTGCTGCTGGAAAACTGCCTCCCTCCAAATCACACTCCGAAATTGTCCTTTTGTGTTCTGTAGATGAACTCAAAGCATGGCATGGCATGGCAGTGAATCCGCTTGGTCATGCACCCCAGTCCTGTCTCCTTGTCCTGCCATGCGGCTGGCCGACACTCGTTGGGGGTCGGTTGGGAAAACAGAAATACCCAGGCACGCTGGCGTGTTGGGGAGTGGTGGTGGTGAGGTGAGATGATGTGACGACGACCTTGTAGGAAAATTTGTTGTGATGGATAGCATGGCATGGCAATGGAAGGTCCTACGCGTACACTTAGAGAGCGTTAACGATTCGCCAAGTTTTCCCTACACAATGGTCCGAAGCGTACATTGGTGTTTCGCCACCTTCGTCACGGAAAATTGGGGAGATAAGTATAATATGTGACTTCTCTCTGCATCGGGCGGTAACACTTTCAAAATATGAAGAGTGGACGGATGGCAAGGTAATTAGTTCAGTGATCAATGCTGCAAATAAAATATGTTTGTTCCCGATGGGTAGCTGCCCATGCTCGAACTCATAAGGGATACAGTTTCTGCCTCGAAAATTAAAGTCACAAGACCATGTTGGGCATCGTGTGTACTCCGTCCGTACACAGCAGCACCATATGAGGTTTCAACGTTCTGCCCGCTCGATCTATGGAAAAGTACAGTACACTCTCTGGACCTTCACGCGTTTCTCTGGACTGTGGATCCTCACTTCCTAGCTATCAGGGCGATTCACGCATGGAATAAAACCGCTTTAGAGCGCGGTACACCTGGCGTATTTTGAAGGATCACTTAGCTGAGATCACCGTCACCCCAATCGTAGGATCATTGGTAGCAAAACAACAAATTTTGTGGGCACATTACGATCCTCGTTGATGTACCAATTCCAATTTTGCGTTGGTGATCCTCTGCGACCAGGCGAATCTCAACGAGTCACGAACGTTGATACTTCGCGTGCATATGTTGGCCGTGTAATATACTGAGACGAAACAACCTCATTGGTGAGATTTTCATTTTCGAAATGTTTTGATTTGATGCGACCTCGTTTCATATGTACGACCTGATTGCGAAAGGAAAGTTTTTCGTCAACAAGGATCACCCTGACTTTGGTACAGAGTTGCAAAGATCACCAAGAGATTGGCAGTCACGATGATCCTACGGACAGCACAAAGATTGTGTAGCATTGACTACACATGTTCCCGATCCCACCTCTGTTGGTACACCACCTGACACAGTGATCACTGTACTGTAGTAGGTGGGACACTGTTCCGCAAGGATCGCCGACGTGATCCTCAAAATGCAGCGATCTTTCCTTGGGTGTACCGCGCTCTTAGGGTTTCCCAACCACTGGTCTATTAGTGTAATACATTTCTTGATGTCAGTTTCTTCTGAATCACAATGATAGCTGAGTGCACACAGTGGTGAGTTCGGAAAACTCGTACGGAATTTCCCTTCTTAGGAAATTGGTTGTCCCTCGAAGATTGCAGCCATTGTCAGCATGCGACTCATGCAATCCACGTCACCACTCTTCACATCAAATCCACAGAAAGACACGAGACAGCAAGAGACCCATTTCGGCAACAAGTCGCGTCGCGTGCCTCAAAGCAGCAGCTGTGTCGCCCCCATTTCATTTTTTTTTTCATGGCATGCGCGAAAAATCTGGAAAAACAGAGATGAGACTAGCAAACAGAAGGTTGGGGGTTACTACGGCAACAGTGCGCCAAGTGCAGCAGGCGCCAACAAGGAACACCGGCCAGGACAAGCACTTGACGATATGACGCCAGCCAAAACAACTGCACACGGCGGCGCCACCAGAAATTGTGACCCTTGGCGTGGTGTGGCATGATCCTGCTTCGCAGTCGCACATGCGGTCCCGTTGGCTAATGCCAACCTCGCATCGCCCTCCCGCCATCCACCTTGTGCCTCTCCTCCAGTAATCACCATCCTTACGTGAACTGTTGCCCCAATTTCAACAGAGCCGGACAAACGAAGAAACGACGACGGCTTGATTTGTTATGTTGCCCCAAATTCCGTGCATTGGTTCACCTCAATTCGTCAGCCCTTCAGGTAGAATATAGGACTTGACAGTCCCTGCACAACACCATTCTCAAATCACAGCCTGATCACTTCGGCTTCTGATCAACATTTTAGGCGCTACTACTGCACTCGTAATTTCACGTAATCTTGTATTCCTAACTTCCAACATAAGTAACAATCCCGTTTCACACTTCGCACAATCAATTTGGCCAGATTGACTTCGAATCATGGCGGACACGGCAGTTCCAGCAGCTCTTCAGTTTCCGTTCCTCGGCAGTTCCGTTTGTTGCAAACGTAGCAGAGACGCCACCGCAATGGCGAGCCATGGCTCCACCTTTTCCGACGATTCGGGCCTCAACGATCTGCTCCTGGCGTTGATGCAGGAGCAGCAAGAGCAGGAGCGGCAGCAGCAGCACGTGCTGCTGCAACAGCAGCGACAGCAGCGCCAGCAACTACGGCGCCAGCTCCTGCTTCGCGAGTGCGCGACAGCGCTCCTCTCGCCTACGGCGCCGTCTTCGCAGCCTCTATGCGACGCACTACCTAATCTCTCGTCGCACTCTACAGTTGAGTCGTCCGCCGCAGCGGGGTGCTATCTGGGACCCGCCGAAATTGCGCATGCCTCTGCGCACACTCCGATCCTCACAGCAGCGACTCAGGCTGAGGATTTCCATCCTCGCGTGAAGCGTCCTCGTTGCGAGGAATCCGCGCATGCTGCATGCGGCCGCACTCACGAGGACTTCCTATACCAGTCGCAGCAAACGGGGTTCTGCCACCAATCGTCGGCGCAGCATTCATACCCGATGCCTGCGCGAGGGTTGGACAACGACGCTCTTTCCGCGCTGATTCAGCAGGCGGTTGCGGGTCAAGTGCGCGCGGTCGTCTCGGCGGCGGTAGAAGAAGCCGCGGGGAGCAAGTGGCGAGTGGCGGAGCTGGAGCAACAAGTATCCGCGTTACAAGCAAATCTCGCTTCAGCACACAACCTGCTTGCCACGTCACAACGTACAGTGTGTTCTCTTCAGCGCTCGCTTGAAAGCTCCCAGCATCAGCTTCAGCAGGAGCGATTTCGCGAAGGCTCGGGAGACAGTGATGACGTGGCAGTAGGCGGGTGTGGGGGTCAAGGGGAGGGTCCTGCGGAGGATGCGGTTTCTATTTGCGACATCGCGCCAATTTGCGCAAAAGGTTCAAATTTGGGTGTTTTTCCTGCAAGCAGGTTTCCATCTGACCCTGCAGTTCCGAACCAGAAGGTTAATCCGTCCGAGCGTGCTGTGAATGACACTCGCTTGAAGCACGTCTGCCGAGCCTGCAAGTTTGGGGAAGCCTCAGTGGTGCTTCTCCCCTGCAGGCACTTGGCTTTGTGCCGAGCCTGTGAGCCACGTACCGCATCATGCCCAGCGTGTGGCGTGTCGAAGCAAGCCAGTGTGCACATATCCCTTGACAACTGACAAGCCTTACTGGGCAGAACTGACCTCTAATTGATAGATTTGTGTTGCTTCAACCCCATGCTTGCTAATGGGACTGTGGCCACATTAACACTGGTTTAGGTAGTATACGTGAAGCCATGTTTTGCAGCTTGTATATTATGTTTTGACTTTGTAATATGATGTAGATCCGAGTATTTCTTATCTCCTTCACGATGATGTAAGAACAGGCTAGTGTTGCAAGCATACGCCCTTTCCTCTTCAAAATTCGAGTAAGTTCTCAAGACAAAGAACATAAGCGTTAATTTCTATAAGGTTTGTGTGTGCCAACGAGGTGGTTATCGCACTGTGCTAGTATAGCGCGGATAGTATGTCCCTCGTCCAGTGGCAAATCGGGACTCTGGGTGGGGTTGTGCGATCCTCCAAAACGAGCAATGCTGCAAACCGGGTAGGGAGGGACGGACGGGCGGAGTTCCATGGGTACAGTAAGGGCGTGTCTGAAGTGAATTTCGACGTTTGCCGACGAAACTTTCGTCGACGTTCCTTGACGAAACTCGACATCCGTTTTCAGCTGTGTTCACTTCAGACACCCACACGACAAAATAACCCACACGTGCCATAGGAACACTGTTATAAGTTGCCCATGAAAATTCGACGTGGAATTAACAGAATCATTCATGTAACTCAATTGTTTGCAATCTCGCGAATTTCGCTTAGCATAGATTGTTGCTGGTAACACCGGATATTCTACTGTCACATTGCCAGCGAAATTTCTCTAGCACGTGTCGCTCTCGTCTTAGTTCTTATTAACGTGTGTTTGCCACAGCTATGCAGACATGGCGTGTCGAAGAATTGTTTTTGAAACACTCACTGACTACAGTGACTCAAACAGCTGCCCGGTATCACTGTTCGACATCCCTCGACATGTGCACGAACGTCGAGTTTCGTAGAGGGATGTCAGGCTGCACTTCAGACACCAACACGCGTGGGTCCCACGGATGAGTTTCGTCGACGAAATTTGACGAAACTCGACGTTTGCACTTCAGACACGCCCTAATGAGACGAGCCATGCAACAGGCCACAAGCAACTTGTACTGTACACGAATGCAGATTAATATCCTGTCCCTCGCGTGAACCAAATGGCGCGGCTCGCCACCCGTCAGTTGACGAGTTGCTGTCGTGATTGGTCAGTTGGTATTGCTACTGTAAGCTGTGGCTTCTACCAACCGCTTGCATTGCAGCCGACACATCTCCCCTTCAATTCGAACTTCCAGTTGACGCCATGGTCGCATCGCGATTCGCAACGCTGATTTCACACAAATGCCTGACTGCGGACGGTAACTGAGGGAAGATGTCCGACGAACCTGGGCAAAATACAGTTCAGGGCGAATGGTGCCGTGTGGTGGATGTTCGC